GCCTTTAAAGACAGATTAGTGTGTGGATTGAGGACTGACCTACGCCTTTAAAGACAGATTAGTGTGTGGATTGAGGACTGACCTACGCCTTGAAAGACAGCTTAGTGTGTGGATTGAGGACTGACCTACGCCTTGAAAGACAGCTTAGTGTGTGGATTGGGGACTGACCTACGCCTTGAAAGACAGCTTAGTGTGTGGATTGAGGACTGGTCTTTAAAGGTGTAGGTATAAGTACAGAATTTAAACACTTTCAATACTGACTTTAATTTCTCATCACACACATGCATATATCCATCAAGTTTTTATATATTTTACAAAAAATACACCGTCCGCGACGATCTAACATCACACACTTGCAAATAACGTCGTCAAACCTAGAACATTATAACAGATCAATTACTCAAATATTTTGTCTCATGTCAATGACGTAAATACCTCATTACGACACTTTGATTTGAAGTTAAAATCACTTTTTACTCATGAATTATTCAGCTCCAATCTTAAGAAGCACTAAGCTGTTTTCTCTGTGCGACTGCAGCGCCCCAACACTGGACTTTACCGATCTGTTCACCCGAGATGTAATTTACGGTTGTTTAAACCATGTGTAAATCGTACACATTAGGCATGAACACAGCCCTAGTGTATACTTTAACTTATCAATTCCACGAAACAGAAACGACACAACATGCAACACGTTGAGAGTTGTTACAGAAGAACAAAAAAAAACATTATATTCCGAAACTAGATGACAGATGATCGTGATATTTACTCGGGTTAAATATTTCAACAGGTATAGTAATTTTGTGTTGGTATTACAGGCCTATTAAATAACAGAAGCGCATGGAGTAACACCTGGATTATAGTCGACGTATTTATCAAATCTCCCACTCAAAACATACGTTGATTTGTGTGTGTGTGTGTGTGGGGGGGGGGGTATTCAGTAGGCTCAGAACTTTCTAAAGTCAGATGTACACACATCTTATTACACATACAGTTACATTTAGATACTTTACAAATTTGTATTCATTGGTTTTTGTTTATAGAAAACGTGCACCTTCCTTCATAACCAGGAGGGTAGTGAACTTGTGTTTGAGGGTATTTTGTGAACGATATGAAATGTGCTTTTTCACTTCGTAATTGTATTACTCTTATTGTGTTTCTTAGCCCTAATCCTGGACAACAATCCGGCGTTGGATGTTCTGTAAAGGCAAACTCTTTCTAAAGATAGTAATGATAAATCAGATCTCGCTCTTCTTCACAATTGTTTTATTATATCATTTGTCTGTAATTTCTTATTTCTCAGAGCTATCAGTTAATCCAAATCAGTCACTTAGGATGCAATGGTGAAAGTCCTGAATAATTTCAGTGTTTTAAAAAAACAAAACGTCAGATTGTGCGTGTGTTGAACAAATTTGTCGTACAGAAGTGAAATAATCTCTTTAAAAACTATTCAATCTTGTAATACTGGAATTAGATCATTTAAAGGCGGGTTCCCCATCTTCAGTTCATGGAATGGTCTTGAAACTAGAATTTGTGTATTTGAAATTAGTATTCATCCTCAGGCCCTCATCTTCAGCTTCTTAGCAATCCTGAAGTTTGAATTTGGCCATTTATAGCTTAGGACGATCTTGAATCTGGAAGTTAATTTTCGGATTTTGAAATGATCCTCAAAACTTTGGCCATTGAAACTAGGTTCCTCATCTTCAGCTTCTGGAATGATGGTGAATCGTTGGCCATTACAAACTAGGTTCCTCATCTTCAGCTTCTGGATTTTTTGTCTGTTGATAAATACAAAGCTATTTAATGCTCAATCTGTGCTCTGTACACCACGAGTATCGAAACCCGATCTTTAGCGTTATAAGGCGTTAGACTTTAATAAGTCCACGGGGGAGGGGGTGAGCAAAAGTTTATGAAGCCTTGGCCATTATAAGTGACATATTTTTATTTTTAGCTTCTGGAATGATTGTGAATCGTTGGCCATTACAAACTAGGTTTCTTATCAGTTTCTGGAATGATGGTGAATTGTTGGCCATTGGAAACTAGGTTTCTTATCGTCAGCTACAAGAATGATGAAGTGTTGGCCATGAGAAACTAGGTTTCTTATCGTCAGCTACAAGAATGATGGTGAAGCGTTGGCCATTAGAAACTAAGTTTCTTATAGTCAGCTACTAGAATGATGGTGAAGCGTTGGCCATTAGAAACTAGGTTTCTTATCGTCAGCTACAAGAATGATAGTAAAGTGTTGGCCATGAGAAACTAGGTTTCTTATAGTCAGCTACAAGAATGATGGTGAAGCGTTGGCCATTAGAAACTTGATAAACGCCTAGTGTTTGGATGAATATTGTCTTAAACGTTTTAAAAAAGGTTCTCTAACCTTTCACACACATACACGTTTCGTTTAAATCCAAAATTTTGATGAGTTCATATATTTCCTTTAATGTTATAGATTTTTCCGTCATTTATCAGTAGCATAATACTTTTGGAAAATGTTTTGTATTTCTGTCAACACGCAGACGTTTATGCGCAGTATTTTATTTTATTTTTTTTGTAAAATTCATTACGTCATTTGTGGTTTTCTTCAAGTAGGGATGATATTTTATGAATTAATCTGATTGCCTGCTATCTCGAACAGTGATATCTTTTCCTTATATCGTATTCGTACAATCACGTAGCCTATCAAGAAACAACGAAGTTGTTTTTTTGTTTTTTTTTTCTTGAAACACAGGTTTCCTTCGGGCTTGGCCTTTGATAAGACTCGGCGGGTTAATTTGTAAATATGCCTAATAAGTAATGTATTACGGTATTTGTGTTTATGACAAACCTATTAAGACTATCTGCCGCCGTCCATAATTTTAGAACTACTCGCCAGAGGGAAGGTAATCAGTCAACAGCACCTTACCAACCACCATCCATGTTGACTCGTATAACGTACCCACAGCTTAATTACGGAGAATGTTTTGATATATCGTTCGGATATAACAGGGCCAGTTCGTCCAGGGTCAGTTGACCCTGTCTGTTAATTTAACAGGGCCAGTTCGT